CCATATATATGACCTGAGTTGTTCAAGTAAACTATTTTAAATCAAACCTCATTTCTAAAACAAAGAAATATAACATTAAAAAGTCCAAAAATAAAGATAAATTGTCTTACCTGTGGTGCAGGTTCCTCCTCTACATCCAAACTTCTGCAGAATCCATTAAAAATATTCAATAAAAATAAAATTCTTCTTTTGGCCCAGGAGGAGCCAGAAAAACACGTTTTCTTTTACATGTTGAGTTCAGATCAAAGGCATCTTCATCTTCATCCAATGAAGAACTGAAGGGGGGGGGGGTGATGTCACAGACCACACCTCCTCATCCTCAACGACCTCGCCACCTTCGTCATTTGCCACCAAGTGACGAAGGTTAAGGCCGTGTCATCGTCTTTAACCCTGTGAATGTAGGTCTGTTCTGATGGAAGTCTGAACCTCAGCAGAAAAATACAGTTTGTTTACAGAACCGTTCAGAGTAAAGGTTCAGAGWAAAGGTTCAGAGAAACCGTTCGGTTGCAGCTCCTGCCTGGAGGAGCTGCAGGTTTCTTCCTGTGAAGATGAGCCTGAGCTCTGCTTATGTAACAGTTACTCCATGTTCTCGTACAGATTAGCTGCAGGTCTCCTTCTGAAGAGCAAACATAAACAGATTACACAGATCAGCACCACAGAGGGCACGCCGTCACGTCGACCCCTGATGGGGGGCGGAGACTCAGACCGCGGATCCAGGGTGTCGGGACAGAAAAGTTCAGATTCAGCCGGGAGCTGCTGATCAAATCACCATGAAGAGTCCGCTGCAGCTGCAGGGCCTGTTGTTTCAACTCTTTATGTCTAAATAAAAGTTAGTTATTTAAGCCTCTTTTAGACATAAACAAACAGTTAGGGTGAATATTTAGCTGATCTGTGATGTACGTCTCCAAGACTGTGAGGCGAGCAGGTGGGATCACAGCTGACCCTTCTCACCCTGTTCACACCACTGGCCTCAGGCAGAAGGTTTCAGTCCGTTCGGACCAGAACATCCCTCCATAAGAACAGTTCCTTCCCCTCTGCCGTCAGGCTCTTGAACATTAAAATCACAACTCTATAACTCTGCCTTGTTCACTTTATCACTGTTTTTTAATCTGCACAACTCTGACTAGATTGTGTTTCTGATTACTGTATGGAGCTGGTGTACATATGTTTTATATTTTTTACTTTTTCCTCTGTATTTTGTTTGTTATATTTTATACTTATTGCACCCTTACACTGAAGCCCATTCTAGCTGCTTTTCCATTGAACATGAAAATGTGCAAATTAGAATTTCGAAAATAAATTTGCTCAATGGAAACACGTCAATTTCAAAAAAAAAAATACGTTTTTCGACAAAATATTTTTGCGCTAGGATGAGGTGGTTTTTCAGCCGTATCGGAATTGGTGTTTTTTGCAAAACTGCAATGGAAACACGTTTTTCACATTGTCGTGGTATGAAAGCGTTCCTTGAAGCCGCCATTTCGACAACGCCAATTTCTGTCGTGGTATGAAAGCAGAAACACGTTGGAATAATGCCAGAAAAGTCTGCGTGTATGGTCGTAATAAATGGTTTAATTCTGAGCAGCAGGCAAACAGGACTCAATCAGGAAGCCTGTCGGCTTACAGCCAATAATATACACCATGATAACATCATATGACGTGCTTATAACCAATCACAGATCGCCTAATATGCTCTCCAGCCTATCACAGGGCTCCCAGCTCAAAGAATGTCTTATCAAACAAGAGAGGTCAGTCCGTTGCGGAGTCCTGTTGTCTGGACAAACAGATTAACATTGAACATGTGACACAGATAGATAATTAGTCCATAACACACATCATGGGAGTCACGTGATCAACAACCGGCTGTTTCTACTGGTGAAAAAGACGATGATGAAGAAGATAACAGGAAGTAGAAGTAGTAGTAATATCACAGAAGTAGTATAAAATAGTAAACTCACCGACTACAATTTCCCAAAAACACAGCATACGTAGCCGCTCCCAAGTAGGGACTTGTCTCTGGAAAGCCTCGATAAAAGACGCCGACGTCTCCTCTGATGATGAGCGCTAGTGTCGTGGTAGCAACATGCTATGTGTTTACATCCATCGCTGCCATGTTTGTAATGACTTATCAYGAGAACAAACGTATTCACGTGACTTTAATAACATTTCTTACTTAATGGAAACACTGCAGTTGTGAAACTGTGTTTTTCGACATTAACAGAATATCAACAAAGTTTTGCGCACATTTGCAACGGAAACACAGCTTCTGACAAGTACATTAAAACATGTCTATAAATGATAAAAACATTAACAAAACCACTTGAAACTTTTCATTTTTATACCAACAGATTTTTATTTAAACTGTACTCCTTTCTCTCGCTTCATCTTTACGAGCAGGAACAAATCTCTGGTCGGCCTTCAGAGACCCAGACTCTGATTTTGGACAATGAGTGAAACTCGCACTTTTATTTTTAATARTATTTCTGCTTTATTTATTTATTTCACATGTAGTCAGTCGTACTCGTACTTTTCAGTGTTTATAAGAGGACGAGTTAAACACTGTTTCTATGCAGGAAACACCAGGTAGAGCTCGGTTAGTGTTTGTTAGTGGAGCTCAGTCGGAGCAACGATACAAGGAACAAGAAGGATTCTTGTTTTTAGCTRAAGTTAATTACAGCTGGCCCCTTTGAGGACCACCATGTGTCCCTCAGGGAAAGAGTTTGACCCCCTGTACCAAAGCTTTACAGAGCTGTAGATCTGCAGTTATATGTTCGAGGTAGAGGTCTTTAAAATTTTCATAAGTTGTCTAAAATGCTATCGTGACAGGGCCTTTAGGGCTTTTATTTTGACGGGTTGCTTTGTGTAAAAAAAAATAATCGCAAAACTTTTATTTTGTTATAAAACTTTGGCAACRTTTCTCAGAGAAATGTTGTCGATGAATTCTGGATGTGAAGATGAGAAAACTCACAGAGAACTGGAGGTAAAATACAGTTAGCATGAATGCTAACGCTAAAATAAACAAAAGCTAAGGGACGCGGAGGAAACATGTTAGGAGGTAAAACAGGGTGGAGTTGCCCTCCACATTTTTCAAATTAAACTCAATTAGTGTCAAATTTTCATTTCTGCCTCCATCGTTTTAAAGTTATTAATATTTTCCAGAGATATGAGTGTGTGTGTGTGTGTGTGTGTGTGTGTGTGTGTTACTAGTTAGGTTCAGAGGTATGGTGTGAATTATGTTCTGGTTCAGGTTATAGTTAACTATAGACCAGTAATGGTTAGTTTTAGGGAAAATGCCTGGGTTAGACATAAAAACAGTTACAAAAATGAATGGAAGTCAATACAATGTCCTCAGTTGGATGCAAATACAAGGATGTGTGTGTGTGTACAGGTATTTCCTACATTGTGGGACAGGTTTTTTTTGGCATACACACCTACTCGGGGGACCTAATTTTTCTTATGGGGACCTGAGTTTATTTAAGGGGAAACACCATTGATGGGGGGGTTAATTTTAGGACTAAGGTATGAACTGAGTTTAGGTCAGTTTCAGGGTCAGGTAGGTACCTGTGAGGTTAATTTTAGGATTAGGATATAAAATTACTAGAAAATGAATGGAAGTCAATGCATTGTCCCCACGTGGATATACAAACCAGACGTGTGTGTGTGTGTGTGTGTGTGTGTGTGTGTGTGGTAGGGCTCAGCTGTTTGTCCACATGCAGCCTGGTGTCTGTGAAGCAGCACACTGATGATGTAAGCTCATGAAAGCTCGACTCTTCCTCCTCTTTAAGAACGTGAGCTGCAGTCGAGGCAGGAGGAACATGAAGAACATGAAGAACATGAAGAACATGAAGAACATGAAGAACATGAAGAACATGAAGAACACGAGAAGCTTCAGTTTGAACAAAACCAACACAAACTGTTTACAGAGCACCTGAAGCTCTCCTCATGGGAACCTGCTGTGTGTTTCTGTCCACCTGAGGTCAGATTTGATGGGTTTTACATCCTGAACCCTGGGACTGATGGGGAGAACTTCTTCCTTCAAACTTAAAGAAACCAGAAGCAGAACCAGCCTGGTGCTGTTCAGGAAACACTTTTATAATCCTCACTTTCAGAATAAAAGCTTGAATTTAAACAGAACATTTATAAAGTGAAACTAAACAAATTCAGTCAAGTCTGTGAATGAAGCCAGGATTAGAGCTGTGGCTCAGTGAGGCTCATTCAGAAGCTCCGCCCCTCTCTCCCTGCAGGAGTCTAATTGGATTAAAGCCTGAGACGAACATGCAGCGTGTGTTTSCATGTGCTCTGAGCACGCTGCTCACCTGTGAACACACCTGTCCAACACATTTACAGCAGGATTACAGCAGCTCCTGACCCGCCCGTCGGACCCCTCTTTAAAGCTTTCTACTCTTGGGGTGGTGGTCCGAGGGGCCGGCGGCGGCGGCGCTGCTGCGGCGACTCTCCTCCAGCTCTTTGATTCTCTGACGTAGAGCTGAAATCTCTTTATTCTTCTCCTCCTGGAAGAAGTGCAGCTTCTGAAACAAACAGGATTAATCCAGGAGGTTAAAGTTAGCATCATCATCATCATCATCATCATCATGTGACCTCTGTGACCTCAGTCTGAATGATGTCACAGACAGACAGATGCAGATTGATCCCTTAGATCTGCTGTGTTTGTGGGGGTAAATAATTTATGTAGATTTGAAGAAAGCCTAGGATAAGACTGACCACTGCATCCTCCTGAAAAACTAAATAAATATGGGATTAGGGATTACGTACCAGTGCTGCAGTGGATATCTAGTTATTTGAAAATAGGAACAGTTTGTACATGATGTAAGATCTGAACTTTATAAAATTACACGTGGAGTTCCACAGGGTTCTGTACTTGGAGCAAAGTTGTTTATCTTATATGTGAATGACTTGGTTAAAGTGTCAGGGCTCTTTAAATGTGTTTTATTTGCAGATGATACTACTTTCTTTGTTTGGGTAAAGACAGAACGGATGTTAAAGATGTTGCAGAGAGAATTTGTGAAAATATAAAATTGGTTTAAACTCAACAAATTATCACTAAATCTGGATAAAACTAATTATATGATATTTACAAACAGACTAAGAACTGTTAATATTCCATTTAGAGCTGATGGTGTGGAGCAGGGGTGCCCAAACAGTCTCCCTGAGAGGACTAAAATTAAAATCTATCTGAGGGCTGTGGGCCAAATTCAATGATATAAGAAACGCAAATACTTCTTAAGTAAAGTTGTTATATTTTTTATGATTAAGCTGGTAGCCAGCATGGTTGCCCACATTCTTTTTGTTATTTTCTTTCCAGCCCATGGACATGGAGGAAATTCAACGTATGCTCAGACAGCAAAGGCTCATGGGACTTTTCATAATTAAAAGTATATGTGGTCTAATAAGGTGTACAAATCTAGATATGAGCTTAAATCTAATCCAAATGTCTCTTGTAGTTACTTGTATTTTATATTTAATCTTAACATAATTACAATGTAGTAACCAGGACAATTTGATTTGATGTTTTGGTTTTGTTTACTGAAGATTATTATTGTTTGAATTTATACTTGAGGAAAAAAGAGGCAGATATAAGATTTTTTCTTCTCTCTGCTGCCTTTTCATTTCACTGTATTTGTGTGTTCTTTTATTTTCATTGTACATAGAATTAATTTAGTTTTTTATGAAATGAATAAAGTTTGAAATCACAACTAAAACTAAAATAAACTAGACATGGGTTTTTACGATGTAAAAACAAGTGTGCATTGCCATGTAGCATGTCATTGCAGCATGGCTTTGCCTGCAGCATTGGACTTGCAGAATGAACTTTGACTAAGTTCAAATATGTTTTCTATACCAGCTTGTACCTGTCACGTCAGCAGGTGTTTGTAATTAAGATAATTGTGTGACAATATGAAGATTGAAGAGATTTTTTGTTAAAGTAGCGTTAGCTGGGTTTAAACCCTGATCTCCCACATGAAAGCCCATGACATGGACCATTAGACCATTAGAGCTCTGGCAGAGTGTGGTGCCAGGGTTTGGTTTGTATGTGTGCAGAAAGAGGCCACATTGTCAATACAATTATTGACACTAAACTGCATAATATTACAACAATAGAGCAGTATTAAGATAATGATATAGTAAAACATCAAAGTACAATCATATTAGTATTGTAACCACTGAACTATTGAGATTAAATATAAAAAACAACATGAAGTGACATGTTTGACAACATGAAGTTTGMAGAGATTTTTGTTAAAGTTGCAGTAGCTGGATTTGAACCCTGATCTCCCACATGAAAGCCCACAGTGCTCATCATGAGACTATAGGAGATGTGGCAGAGGACAATCCCAGGGATTGGATTGTATTTATACAGAAAAAGTTTACCTTGCCAATGCAATTATTGAGAAGTGCAATATCTTATAGCAATAGGAC